TTTATAGTGAAAAACATTGTCCTCAATGTAAATCTTCTGATCCAAAGACAATTGCATACGTGTATGATGCACGAGTGCAGCATGTGTTAACAAGAATGTTGAAAAGATTATCACCAGAAATTGAAATCTATAAAAATCAAATCGATAATTCAGGAACAAATGAAATGATGATGAACAAAAACTACAAATATCTATTGAATAAAAATCCAAACACAAATTTAATTAGTTTCATTCTACACCTAGATGGAATTGGTCTCACGCATAGTAAGCAGCTGAAGCGTTGGCTTCTCAGTGGGTCTGTCATAGAATTACCTTTACTCCTGAGAAATAGGAGATATAACATGTTGTTATCAAGCATATGGATTGGTTATGTTGAACCTAAACCGAAAATTTGGTTTAATTTGTTAAAAATTTGTATTCGAAAAAATAGTTGCTGGGCGCTTGATACACTTTTGATCAAACACAACAGAATCCGATGTGGTTTTTCGAACTCTTTCTAATGGTGACGTCAATTTTACCCCAAAACGGCGTCATTTTTCCCTTAATCGTTTTTATGATGAAATTTCGTGTTTTATATCCCGATCGGGATATAAATTCGACTAAAATTAGTTAAAGGTTTTTGTTCGAAAAAATAGTTGCTGGGTGCTTGATGCACTTTTGATCAAACACAACAGAATCCGATGTAGTTTTTCAAGCTCTTTCTAATGGTGAAGTCAATTTTACCCCAAAATGTCGTCATTTTCCCCTTAATCGTTTTTACGACGAAATTTCGTGTTTTATATCCCGATCGGGATACTACTTTTTTTCTATATCCTGATCGGGATATAGCTATATCCCGATCAGGATATAGGAGGTGTTCCCTTACTGTACGTGGACCCGTTTGTCCAGTAAGTCAGGCAATGAGAGATAATGGTTATCGTCGTCCATTAGAAGGTAAATTAGAAAAGGCACTTTTGTATATTTTTTTGCCTTTAAGGAGTTTGTTTTAATTTGAAATAGATCTTTCAAATCATACACGTACACAGCGTTCACGATCTCCGGTCGATCGAGGTACGTTAATTAATGAAGATAAAGAAGAATTTAGTGAGAGACGAAATGAATTTGAAATTCAAGAGACATCAGGTACTATGGCGTTTTCACTCGTTGCTGTGCAAGCGTTGTCGCTTAAACGCCTAGAATAATCTAATAAAAAAAAATATGAGCACAGCAGTGATCTTCTAGTCAGTTTTTTCACTTCTATGTTTAGGTCGGAATCGAATGTTTGTTTTGTTCTGGCATTTCAGGTGCTGCTTATATAGCGCAGTTTATTTATACTAATCCGTTTGCCTTTTTCTCTTGCAGACGAACAGAGAACTAGACGCATATCAAGATGGAAGTCAAACTCAACGTCCATCTGAAATGGTAAGTGAATTATTTCCATTATAAATCATGGGTTTTAGCATGTGTTTTTTTATTTTAAGATTTATGAGAATGAAAATCTGTTGGATATTACTGGCACAAGTTACGGTGATTATGCCAGAAAGTTAATGAAAAAACTATTTACAGAAAAGGAATTAAAAGTCGTATTTTACCCCCGACCCGAAAGTATTTAAAACGTTCTGTTTTGGATGAACACAAATTTAAATTTTTGAACAGTAAGTTGCCAAATGAGGTCATCCCCGATGACCGGCGTGAACCTGTCGTCTCATTTTGGCTGCATAATATAGGAAGTGAGCCTTTCCGGCTGTCTTTCTATTCCCATCACAGTCGATGTCAGTTTTTTTTGAGAAGGATTACTCCGCTTTTGGGGTTGTTGCAGCGTATTCAGCAGCGAATTCTCGAACACATTTACGCAAATATATGAGTGAATTGCACTGGCATAGTACGGTTTCGAAAAAAAAAACGGAAAAAACAATTTGTGAATAAACAAATTCCGAATCATATATGAGATGGTACTACTTTATTATTATCGATTTATGGAAAAAAAATTCCCAGCACTTGGTTGTATATTGGCTGAGAAATTTGATTTTTTGTAAGAGCTATACAATCTCTGAGTATTGCCTGTAAAAAAGAATGGACTTGGATGTTTTTTGAATAACATTTGACAGAAAGTAGCTAGAGAGCTTTGGCCTTCGCCATGCAAAAGAGACTTGCTGACATGCTTTCACAAGCATGAACTTTTCTGGAAGTGTTTTCTAAAACAGGTTTTCTAGGAGATCTTTGGAAAACCAAGCGATTCCAACTTGTGCAAAAGTTTTTTAATAAGATCGTATTGATTTTCTTCCATGCTATGATAGCCCAAGGTATCCTCTTCAAAATGAGAGTCAAGCGAGACCTTGATTTTCCGCATTCGGGTGTAGTGTTGGATTTCCTACGAGTCCCAGGACTGGTGACTATTGGTAGCCTTGAAATGTATGTACTATAGGTAATCGATCATGCTGAGTCTTGTGACAATATTGTTTTTTGAACAAGTTCTAAAAATTTACCGAAAAAGTGAGCTTTACGAAAATTATAACTTTTAGGCTGCTTTCACTTTCTGTTAAAAAATTCACTATTCACTCAATAAACATCAGACTGAGTTCAGGACTTCAGAATGTAGAGTATTTAAGATATTCTATATCCTATTTATAGGCGATCTCAAAAGAAATTTTATAAAACCCTTAGGTGTTCTAAAAAGGTTTCTGGAGAACCCATTAACACAAATATGCTTTTCGATTTTTTCGATCTTATAATCATGTTTAGCGGAGAAAGTTTCTCTATATCGTTTATCATATCTCATCAGTTTTTGTTTGGACACTTTCACCATGATCTTATCTATTAGAATATATATAAAAACAGAATTACCAATGAAATTGTTCTTACATTTTGAGAAACTTTTCAATATTAACTCTTTCAGTCCCCAAGACTTTAGTGCTTGATTTTCGGTCAATCGTCTATGAAAATGGAACATACAAGATCTCGATATGACTTTCTCATGCTCGAAAAAGATTAATTTTCATTTTTAAAAAAGTTGTTATAATTTAAATCTAAAACCAAAATTTGAAAAAACTTATTTTTTTCAGAATTCTAGTTAGAAACCAAGGTCCAAACATATCTAAGTTTAGATCATTAAGTTTGAGGAAGTTAAGACAGAAAATGAGCTCAGATAGTGAAGAAAATCAAGAATGAGTAAGAAAACAATATTG